GGTGGGATCTGCAGATGGACGAAGAGATGGTCCAGTTTGGAGGAAATATCCCTCAGCTGCTTAGTATGCTCAGCCATGCTGTCCTCCAGACTGGTGATCCTGGCGTCCCAGTTAGTAAAATATGACTGATGAATTTCATCCTGCAAAAGGACGAATTCAACTATGTCCTTATTGTACTGTTTGGAGCTGCCACTCGTTTTCACCTTCTCTACATTTGCTGTCAGTTCTCGCCTTCTTGTTTCTTTTCTTGCAGACGCCTCCTTCCTCTTCAGCTCGGCCTTTAGAGACTCGATTGCCTTGGCCTGTTGGCGGAGTACCTCCTCCTGGGCCCGTTGTTCAACCTCTAGAGGGTCAAGCAGAACAGGCGGCTTGGGCGGTATCTGAGGCTTCACCTCAGAAGTCTCAGCCTTCTGAGACACTTCGCCCTTCTCAGAATCGACCATTTTGGTCACCCACAATGCAGATCAATAAAATAAAATAAACAATTAATCTGAGACAGAGCAGGAGGTAACAGTAATTTAGGTTTCCCTCCAGTACTCACTCAATTATTGTCGCCTGCCTGGAGGGAAAAGATGGTTAGTTCTGAGCAAGTGAGTGCTCAGTCTCAGCAGACGGCTTGAGGGTCAGGGTCAGTTTAGAGTACACTCAATAAAAATCAATTTCACGATTTTCCCATCCGTGCCCCGACACAACAATTGCATGAATAATTGCAAACCTTGCTTTAGACAGGATGCAGTCTTGGACTGATTAATGTTGATTAGTAATTAGGCAGAGTGACTAATTAGGGTTTGACAGATGTCCCCTGATGACCAAGATGCAGCGATTTATAGGTTACCCTATTTTTAGACCTACCCTACAGACTTCACCACTCTATGACCTTGTATGCCATACCCTGGGTATGGCGAACTTCAGTTTTCACTGTAACTGACTCAGAACATCAAATGTGGATGTGCGATTTACGAGGGACTGACAAAATTAAATTCTGATGGACGGAATCAAAGTTATGACTGACCCTAGTCTAGCCAAGCTTTAGCTATGTCAGCAAAGAATTCAAATTTGCATTATCACTAAAAACAGGACCTTGAATTCATCAATCCACTACACAGTATAAATCGCAATACTGTAAAGCAGTCACAGATGAAACATGAGTCGAAAAAAAAGGTCAAAGATGGTTAGTAGAAGTCAAAGAAGATAGGTAGGGGAAGTTGGATATGGCTGTCCCACAGTCTGAATTTCGATTTTCAACTGTCACCTGACAGACAGACCAAATTTCACTATTCTAAAAATAATCCCAAAATCGCCACACAGGATGGAGTAAGGAACACACTTACTTCAGCGTCAACTCTGAAGAAGATGCATGAAACCCTGGCTATGGCTGACTGGTCAACCCCATCTCGCCAGTTTCATATCCTGACAGTATCAAGTGTTCCCACGTACCAAATTGCCTGAAACTTGGTGATCCTGTAGATTACCCCGAGGCGCTTCACCCCCAACCAACTGATTCATATAATTCTGAGTCCCAGGTGCCAATAACTGACAAAGTCAGTGCAGCGCCACATCACCCTGTACTGCGCTGCTTGGAAATTGGGGATCTCGACCCAATTCCACAATCGCAACCTCTTGGGATCACTTTCCTTCCAATCGCCAGCCTCCAGATGAATCGTCAGTCTAAAAGTAGCCTCCCAGAGCCTTTCAGTCCTCTGAGCACCAATCGCCAACCACTCCTGGACAACCCTAGTTAGGAGTGAGTCACCCTCTGTCCAATGCGTCTCGCCACACACTCACAGCCACCACCCTTACTGACAACAACCCTGGAGATGATGAATCGCCATGAGACTCTAACTCCAGTATCTCGCCAGATGATGATGGGTGCTCCAACTCATTAATCGGTCCAGAGTCTGGATCCCATTGCTCCAATACCAACTGTTATGATTCTGGTTGTTTGCTGTCTGACGGCCAACACTCACTCACATAGACTTCCAAGTATGCCCATACATACACAGAAGGAAGGGGAGAGGATAGGAGTATCACACCGCACAGGGAGAGATAAACACAACGGAAGACTTGACCATGCGATATGACCGGGTACACTGAAAGTGCAATTAACTCCACTTAATCCTCACAACCAGTCATAAAGAAAAGCCGAGCAGATCACATCCAGGAAACAATGAAACGATGATAGTCCAAACCCAAGTTATACACTGTTTATTAAACTCAGAGTCTCTAGTTGTCAGGATAACTTGAGTACTACAATGTGCTGCTCAGAAGTGAGCAGCGCTTCACTCCCCAACCCTGATTAGCACCCGTAACACCCCTGAGCCCCTGAAACATCAAGCGCCACCCAAATACAGCCTCTTGAGGGAAGCGCCACCCTGAAACAGGCCTCTGAGGCCAAGCGCCACTCAGAGGATGAAGAAGAAGACCAGCGGCACAATATCTGAAGATGACGAAGTGTCGGAAGACTTCCCGGGTGGAAGTCTGCAGCAGCGGCACCAAACCCTGAGAAGATGACCTCTGAGGACGAAGCTGCAGCTATGGCTGCAGCGCCACCACCCTGGAACCCCACTCCGGAGGAGGGTCCAGCAGGGCACCAACTTCTCTCGCCTCCAGCAGACCTCAATAACCCAGACCTCAGTCAGCCCCTGCGTGCTGGCAGAGTACAGCGCAGGTCCCAGCTATGGCCGACGCTCCGAAGGTCTGGCTATGCCCGTCTCCTTCCACACTGAGCCGTCGCCACTTCCGGTTCACGCGTAGTGCAGCAGCGATGTACTCGGTACCAACTGCCAAAAGCCCTGAACCGATGTGCCCATTCTATCTATAGACTAACATAGCTTAGACTTGACCTAGACCGGACTTACTGACCGACCGGTACCGTTTCTGTTTCGGCCTCTCGGCCTCTACTGGAGCCGGCTATAGGCTATAGGACCGTCTAGCAGAATAGGCCCTTAGGGCCTGTCTGTCCTAGGGTAGCCCGGGCCTGCTATGCGCAGTTAGGGTAGCGGTAGGGAATTCTGTTAGTACCGGGCCTGCATTTTTCCCGAATATGCAGATATGTCCCTCACGAATTTCCCTCACAGGTAGGTCTCTCGGTTAGCCCTCAGCCAAACAAAATTACGAATCTATCCTATCTGTAGTACAGCCTCGACAGAGAGAGGCTACAGGCAACCAGAAAACAGCCAGTCATTGCACCTATATAGTGCTGGCCTGTCCAGAAGGCTGCTCTTGCCAATGCCGAAACGTGCCAGACCCTGGCGTTGAAGCTCAACCAGGGGTTGTCTTGAAAACAGGCCCGAAATGGCCTGTGCTAAAACCCGGGTTTGTTGCCTGAGTTTAAGGGCAGGTTGAACTGTTGAGGCCCCGGTAATGGCTCTCAGTTTCAGGCTAAAAACACTCAGGGCCGGAAAGGCCCTGATTTAGCCTGAAACGACACAGGGCCTGTAGGCCTTTGTTTTCAGGCTTTCAGGCTGATATGACACAGGGCCTGTAGGCCCTTGTCTTCAGGCTTTTGGCCTGAAAACGTCACGGGCCTGGGAGTGGCCCGTGCAGCCTGTTGCAGGCGCAGCATGTAACACTTCAGCAGGACACGATACAGGTTCATCACAGGATCATGCTGGTGCAACATGTGGATCTTAAAGAACCCGTATTGGATTGGACTGGCTCAGTAGAGCATTTGAGTGGTTCAGCACAGATATGACTTGTTATGCATGGGATTTCTTTGGGCCTGAATGGTGCCTGACTGGTGTAGCACAGTGTGGGACCAGCATGGCACCTCACGGGTCCAGCATGGGACCATAGTGGCTCTTAGTGGATCAGCATGGTATCTCTCACTTGTCCAATACGGGGTCCGACGGGTTCAGAAGTGGATTCTCAGGGTCATCATTCTTGGCGGTTTGTGCCCCTGTTGTTTTCTTTTTTATCACTTTTCTTCGCTGTGGTGACCGCTTCTCTTTTGTGCCCGTGATTAGGAGTCGCCCTGAGAGGGTTCTGGTCACAGTCCATGGTTGTATATGTCCCGCCATGTGTAAACCCTCACAGCAATGGGCCTAAGGATAGGTAAACCCACACAACTCTTCACGTTGTTGCATGACCTGTTACAGGACATTATAATTTCAATGTTGTTTGATCCATTTGATGGGTATGAACTTTGAAGCAATGATACTCGTCGCCCTCACAGCCTTTGTCTTGCCACCTGTCCTGTCGAGCACGGTTGTGGGGTGGCTGACTCGCAGCTGGTAGGTAAGTTGGGAGCAGGAGCAGGTGTCTCCCCTCCTCTATTGAAGTACAGACTCCTATTTTCTGTTGTCATGTGAATGATGTGGACAGAGTTCGGGCAGTCGGTCTGGCTGAGCAGCACACATTCACTGTTCTGTTTATCCAATCCTTGCTGCACCTGTAACTGCATTTTCTGCCTTGCAATGTGCTGTTGCCCGTGTGAAAATTCATTGCATCTCCTAGGTGTATGCCATTTGTCTGATCATGTCCTGGAGTAGGGGACGCGAAGACTGATGTCATCATGGCATGTTTAGTTCGCTCCCCATTTGTCCGTTGTACTGCCGCAGCAGGTTTATTCCACACAAGCTTTTGGGCAGGAGAACCCCCGATCACTGTATTTGCTGATGCAGTTTCCGTGGACGCATGTTTCATGTGAGGGGGATCTTCTGGTTGCTGTGCTGGTGACACGGGCCTCCTTAGAGGAAGCTGAGTGTGAGGGGTACCTCCTTGTTGTTGCCCTCGCCAGTGCTGACACTTGCGCGCCAATGTTCAGAAGCAACCTGCAGGTCACAAAAACACTGTTGTCTGCTTTGTGATTCTCTGCCCTGTGTGTGCACAAGCTCAGTTCTTTTCCTCTAGACCTTTTTTTTTTTTTTACTATGTCCTTGCCTGTGTTCATTGGCTCCCTTTTTGTCATATTGCTGTGGTATGTTATTTATGTGCGATGCTCATTTTCTTCCACAGGCTAAGCTCACTGGACTGTCTTTGGGTGCACCAATGTGAAACAGGATCCTCTTCTGCTGGACTTGGTTCTCAGCTTTCCTCTTCATGGTTTCTATCTGAGATTTGAGCCTCGCTCGCAAGTAAGTTTAAGCCACCAGTCCCACCGAGCCTATCTTGTCAAGCCTAAAAATTGAAACGTCCGAGCCTCTTTTTGAACAGTACTGGCCGTGGGAAAACTTTAGTGCAGTACCTGTACCGGCGTACCATCTTCACCCGAATAGAACTCCCGGTCATTATAGCTGCATTCGGCACAACTTTCAGTCCAGATGCAGCGATAGTGAGCGGGTGTTTTATTCATGTGAACATGGTACTGTGTGACAAGTAACAGACAAGAGGCCTGTACCTGGAATGGAGGGCCGCCTGCTTGTCTGGTCTCTCTTTTTTCTTTTTTTCCCTTCCTTTGAAACAATGCACACAACCCACTAACCGCTGTGCCATGGACCCAAGTCTGAATTCAGGTGGAATCAGGTCGCTCTCTCTCTCTCTCTCTCTCTCTCTCTCTCTCTCTCTCTCTCTCTCTCTCTCTCTCTCTCTCTCTCTCTCT